ACCCCCCCCAAAAAAAAATGTTATTCCGAGTCTTCCCCCCCCCCCCCCCCCCCCCATCAGACCTCTGATGTGTCCAATTAAGCTTCACACATTTGACACAGTCACAAGGCTATACAGTGCTGCCCCACTTAACCACATTTTTTTTCGTTAAAAACTTCAGATGTCTGAAATCTGTGGTTGCTGCTGCAGTGCCAGAGAAAAGAACTGTACATTAGTTCAGAACGTGTCCACCTGATTAGGGTGATTTGTAACTAAGTTTATGGAAGTGAAGGTGCTGAAAGTGAAGTCAGAAAAAAAGATTGGATAAGTTTGATCTTCCTTACTGGAAAACTTATTCTCATACTGACTTTTGCCTGTTACAGGTTTCAGCAACTTTTGCAGCAAGTTTAGTTACTAGCCCAGCTATTGGTGCCTACCTTGGTCGAGTCTATGGAAACAGCTTGGTAGTGGTCCTAGCTACAGCTATAGCTTTGTTGGATATTTGTTTTATTCTTGTTGCTGTACCGGAATCACTGCCCGAGAAGATGAGGCCAGCATCATGGGGAGCACCCATTTCTTGGGAACAGGCTGATCCCTTTGCAGTAAGCTATTTAAATGTTTAAGTATGGAGTGGTGGCTTGATATATGCAGATTTGGATTTGTACTGCTTTTGAGTCAGGAATGGGACTGATAGTAATTATCCCGATTTGGGTTTTAAAAAAATTGTTTGAGGAGTTCCTAGGTTTATTGGGGAAGGGTGTGAGTAGCTTCAAATTGCTGCTTAGCAGGGATTAGCAAATGCAGATTAGCATGTGCTGAAGCACATGTTTTAACAGTGATGTATGTATTAAAGGGCATCTGCCTCTTTCAGTGTTCCATTTTGTATATAATTGCTTATGAATGATGAAGAGTAGATGTTTTCTATTGACCTTATAGCTGTCTTTTTTTGTCCTAGTCACTAAAGAAAGTGGGTCAAGATTCTATAGTGCTGCTAATCTGCATAACGGTCTTTCTTTCCTACCTCCCGGAGGCAGGTCAATATTCCAGCTTCTTCCTATACCTCAGACAGGTAAGAATCTGCATATGAAGAAATGTCTGATAAGGAAAACTAAATTTTTAGAAGGGAGTATTCTTTGCACTTGTTACATTACTTTAGCAATATATGGGTAGTCAATATGATTAATGGCTGTTGATAGTGGCTTTTAGTTACTCTGATAGTTAATAAAGAGATGAATCTGTTCTCAAAATATTTCTCATGTTTCTTAAAGTCATTTGCATTATTCCTTGAAGTACAAGTTCCACTACATTGCAGTGGTTAAAATTAGCTTTTGTTAGCTGATAAAATATTTTTACTCTCTTACAGTATGGGGTCAATTTTTCTTTCAAGTTCCATATTCCATTATAGAAGTTATTTTCTGTTCCGCACTAGTTCTTTCTCTTTATTTTATGCAAGAGTAAATGTTGGTTCCCATGGATTATGGGATTGAAGAAAATCAGGGATGTCTTCCTCTATTTCAGATTAAGCGTTTTTCTAGTTACTCCATTTATTCTTTCCACTGATGTCACAAAACATGAAAGACGTGTCAATATACATTTGAAGTTTAATGATCAAATTTCTCCTTCTCTAATGTAGATAATGGGATTTTCACCTGAAAGTGTTGCAGCTTTTATAGCAGTTCTTGGGATTCTCTCCATTATTGCACAGGTAAATATTGATCTATACATTTCACTAATATAATGGGTTCAAGTGAGAGCTAAATATTATGACAATCCCTGTAACTGTAATTCCAGGAACTCAGTCTATCTGGTTTCAGAAGGTTAGAATAGAAAAGGAAAGAGATGCTTTGAATTCTGATCTCATTTTA